TACTGAGCATGACGTCACATGGTATGGAATGTTTCTTTGGCCAGTTTGGCTGTGCCCCCTCCCAGCTTCTTGTGCACCTCCAGCCTTCTCAGTCGGTAGAGCATGGGAAACTAAAAAGTCCTTGGCTAGTGTAAGCACTGCTTAGCAACAACTAAAACATTGGTCTGTTATCAACTTTGTTCTCATCCTAAATCCAAAACACAGCTCTGTACCAGCTACTAGGAAGGAAATTAACTCTATCCCCGCCGAAACCAGGGCACAGGGAACTATGCTCCACAGATCAGAGCAGAGAGCCATTACTCTCCATAGCAAGCCTGCTGGACTATGCCCTTGTATAATCCTTTTCAGAGTGTATTTTCACTGTATTTAAGTGCTCTTATATGTTAATAGTAATGATTGCAGTGATAAATAATACAAATTGTACCATCTCCTCCAAAAGGATGAACTTGGCCTAACTTTTTAGCCTTAACACTAATAAACATACTACCTTTCCTTCTCTTTTTTTTTTGCATATAATAGTCATACTTATTGTAATATATATGTGAATGTAAAATCATAATTTTCACAAATATTTTTAGCAGATAACTGTAGTCTCTGTAAGGACGGAAATCTGATTTCATTTCACTTAAAATGCTTAAAAAATAATTTTGCCTGTGAAGAAACAATCCTTTTTTCTATTTCCTAACCTGCTCTTCTTTCCATTCACTGTAAATATATAGCAATTGTTTGACCGGATGGACAAATGTACATCTTCATATATTAAAACTTTAGCATGCAAGAAAGGATCAGCAGGCATCACCATCCACAGAGTATTTTTTTATCATCTTTAAAACACTGTAAATGTTTAAAATGACATACTGTATTAGTATTAGTACCAGTCTGTATATATTTGACATAAAAAATATTTGTGACAATATTAATTACAATATTGCCCATGTTTGATAAGAATTTAATTTCTCATTTAAAGATATATTCTGGAAGCCACCAGAACTGAAAGGGGGTTAGTTTAACTGTGCTGTCTGGGCCGAAAATGTGTTATTGATTACTAACAGCTGCACCAATTATCATCACTGAAAACTGCTGGCCGCAAAAACTTCCATATGAAAAATATGTACAACTCTCCTTCTCTCTCTCTTTGCCTACAGAAAGAAGCTGAATTATGAGTCAGGGAGCACAGAACATCCATGAATGCAGGAGCAGAGATCAGTAACAACTGATACCATGCCTTCAAGTCTGTTCTTTAGAAAATTGGATAGAGGAAGATGGAAAAGAGACGGGCAAATAAATGACCAAAGGGGAAAGGGCAAGAAATGAACTGAAAGATAGGGGGCAACTGAGCATGTGGATTGATGCTTGGATAATGATGAGAAAAACTCTAATGCCACCTGAAAGGTGTTTAAAAGAGACTAGATATAAGAGTAAATGCTTCATTGCTCTCACTGAATTTGTTTAGCTCCAGAATGAAGAGGACTACTAAAGGTTAGCATTCATAAAGGACATATAAAATATCTCTCTCTTCTGTACTGCTTTATTTCATGCAGACTCAGACGAATTTGCACTGGTGGAGTACCTTCCTCCTGTGGGCTCTACATCCTGGCCTTGTGCAAGCTTAGAAGAAATGTGGCTCTTCAGAGGATGACTAACAGGGCTGCACAGCACTTCTACTACTCCTGAAGAAGAGGTGGTGGGCGAGGTGAAAACTTCCCATAGAATGGATCCAGTCAGCAGGCAGCCCAGATAGAGATATAGAAGAATGTCCATATATCAAGAATGATCATCCCTCAACATTAGAGGACTTCTTGTTTTTACGGACTATGGATGCATACAACTGAAATAAGGAATAAGAGCTTTCTACAGGCTGATGAGGTACAGAGGGTTATCAGCAGCTAAGGTAAATAAAAACTAGGCACTTGTCACTGAGAAGTGCCTGCACTGTTCCTTTTTTTTTGTTGGTTTTTTTTTTTTCCAGAAGTACAAGTTTGCCTTCTCTTTATACCCATTTCAGACTCCCTTATGCAGTGAATCATACCTTTAAAAGGCGCGACATGAGCCAGCTGGAACAGGTTGCATAGGGCAGAGGTGCACATTACAAAATACTGAATGCAAACATTAAATGAAGCAGATCAAGAAGTTACCATGGTTGGAAAAATGGTGCTGATGAAACTTTGCTAGATGTAAAACACTCTGGAAATGTGGAAGACAACTGGTGAATATTTATACAGCACTTCATTCTAACTCTAAAAATGGGTGCCAGCAAAAAGTCTATGTTTGACTCTGAATTTGCATCTTTTCACCAGCTAACCCTGATTAATGCTACTGCTGTACATAACGGTCCTCCCCATGGGACATCACGTTGAACATCATGTCCTTTAACATGTGGATTGGTACAAGTTTCCAGCTGAGGAACTCAAGCTGATTTTAAATGTCAGATTGAACAGCACAGTTAAGGATTATTGAATAGGGGTAAAAATCTACAAAGATATTCACTGTTGACCATGTTGTGCATGTTTAGATGCAGAAAAAAGCTGAGCCCAGAAAGCTAAGCGGAGGCTCTGTGAAATGCCAGCTGTAATTATAGTTAAAACAAAACTGAGCAAAGTTGTGGATTTCATGGAATTGTCACTGCATAGACATTTCCTTTTTATTCTTCCACTCAAGTTCATATTCTTGTAAAATATTACCGGATGAACCAAATTTCTGCTTTATTTTTGGAATCATGAGATGGTGTAGGTTAGAAGGACCTTTGGAGGACCGGAGGTCATCCAGTCCAACTCTCAGCTCAAAACAGGGCTAACTTGAAAGTTTTCTTTTAACTATCCACAATCAGCCCCAGGTTGTCTTCCCTAAGCTACTAATGAATAAACAATAATCAATAATCATAAAAAGTTCAGATTTTTCATTCCACTATATATTATTTTGCATTTATTAACAGTGAATTTCACCAGCTATAGTGTTCTCCATTCAACAACCTCGTGAGCTCTGGAGCTTATTATTGCTATAAGTAATACCTACCGGAGAATCAAAAAATTACAGCTACAGCTCCTTAAAAAAGTTCATCAGGCTGATCAGCTATGGTATGAATCAGTTATAAAAATAATAGTTTTAACTGGATCCTCCCATCTTGTAAAAGGAAGCCTGGTTGAACATGCAGTATGGATTTTATAAAGCCGTTAGGAAAAATATTCATATTAAGTGACAATGTGACAACTGTTGGCCTAACACAGGAAACAGATAACTGCAGAGGGAACTGCAACTTCGTCTGCGGTGCAGAATTCTTCCTACTAGGAACTGAGCATAGCTGGGAGAAAAACTGCTGCTAACCATCTCCAGAAAAATTCACGAGGAGATGAAAAGGGAAGTAAATAAATATAAAAAGACAGGACTAGATTCCAAGTTGGAGGCTTACTGAACTGCAAGATCACCTAAAACAGGAAAAGGTTCTTTGAGATACTGTCAGGCAAGGAACAGAGATCATAGAATCATAAAATCATTAAGGTTGGAAAAGACCTCTAAGATCATCGAGTCCAACCGTCAACCCAACACCACCATGCCTACTAAACCATGTCCCTAAGCGCCTCATCTACACGTCTTTTAAATCCCTCCAGGGATGGGGCCTCAACCACTTCCCTGGGCAGCCTGTTCCAATGTTTCACCACTCTTTCAGTAAAGAAATTTTTCCTCACATCCAATCTAAACCTCCCCTGGCGCAACTTGAGTCCATTTCCTCTCGTCCTATCGCCAGTTACTTGGGAGAAGAGACCCACACCCACCTCGCTACAGCCTCCTTTCAGGTAGTTGTAGAGAGCAATGAGGTCTCCCCTCAGCCTCCTTTTCTCCAGGCTAAACAACCCCAGCTCCCTCAGCCGCTCCTCATAAGACTTGTTCTCCAGACCCCTCACCAGCCTCGATGCCCTTCTCTGGACACGCTCCAACACCTCGACGTCCTTCTTGTAGTGAGGGGCCCAAAACTGAACACAGTGTTCGAGGTGCGGCCTCACCAGTGCCGAGTACAGGGGCACTATCACTTCCCTACTCCTGCTGGCCACACTATTTCTGATACAGGCCAGGATGCCGTTGGCCTTCCTGGCCGCCTGGGCACGCTGCCGGCTCATGTTCATCCAGCTGTCAACCAACACCCCCAGGTCCTTTTCCGCCAGGCAGCTTTCCAGCCACTCTTCCCCAAGCCTGTAGCACTGCATGGGGTTGTTGTGGCCAAAGTGCAGGACCCGGCACTTGGCCTTGTTGAATCTCGTACCGTTGGCCTCAGCCCATCGATCCAGCCTGCCCAGGTCCCTCTGCAGAGCCTTCCTACCCTCAAGCAGATCAACACTGCCGCCCAACTTGGTGTTGTCTGCAAACTTATGAGGGTGCACTCTTCTTTGAGGAACACATTAAAACAATAAAAGATTCCATGAGTTTCAGGGGTGACTGCTGTGCATTAAAAATAATTTTAAAAATAATTAAAAAGCTATTTTAGTCCAAAAAGTAAGTATTTGCACTTAATAAACATACATCAGTATGGATGTGTGAAATAAAAAAAAAAAGATTCTTCAGTAAAGCTATCTTTTAGTGTAGATATAAACTTCACAAGGGCAGATGCACTTTGATCTGAATGGGCAACTCCAAGGTCACAAGGCTAAACCTGTATCATACGGAGCAAAATACTTGCCGTAGCACCTGATGGGATTTTTTTGGGGTGAGGGGCAGAGGGGACCAGCAGAGGAAAAGAGATAGTAAAAGCTATCTTTGTTTACCCATTAAATCTGCATCTCCTTCAGAACAAAAAAAGCTGGTACTACAATAGCCAGAGGAGTAACAGGAAATAGCTGAAATAAAGAATGAAATTCTGAGATACCATAACTCACAGATTTCTGAGAGTTTCAGTAAAAGTGAATCTTGCCCCTTCTCTTAAATCGATAATTTAAGAGAAAACAGTGAGAATAATCCCCACATTACATATTTGTTCAGCCTTCATTTATTGCTTGATATCTTAAGTTGTGAGATTTCAGGTCTAAATATTACCAACAAAAAAAAGCCTTAATCCAAGTCAAAGCCTTCTAAACCCAATTAATGCTGTGTCTTCCGAACCATTTAAAGCCTTCTTTGCTAACTCAGGGTAACTAGCTTGCAGTAGAGAAACTCCTTCCACCCACCATCTCCCAAGATACCACAAGGTGTCTTTGTCTGTTTCAAAAGCGCTTTGCATTGCTCTATTAAATGAATACTTAACAAACAACAAATAAACCCTCTCAAAAGTTCAATAGATACCTGGTGGTAAAGATGGTCTTTGATTCAATCATTAATCAAAAGACATTTGTCAGTAAAAGACTGTAATCGAAGTTTCCACTTCTATGTGCATGTGTGCATGCATGTGTACATATGTTTGGAGGTCTTTCAAAAAAATCAAAGGAGATTTGATGTCATTTTTATGATATGTTTAATGACAAACATAAACACAGATGAGCATGAGCTTCCAAGCCTTTCTGGAAGTTATTCCTATATTCCAATAGGTCATTACTCATACAAACACTTGGCATATATTTCTTGTAAAAAATCACAGCCGGTTATTTATACCAACTGTTATTTCAGTTTACTGATCTATTGGTTATAATGTGCCTAGATGGCTTTGAGGAAATTCAGTCATTTCTGATAAACAGCTTCATGTGCTACCACCGAAACTAAGGAATATTCTTCAGTAAGTTTGTGGGAAAAATAGTGATAATCCCTAATGAAAACATATCTTTAATACTTGATCTAGGAAGTAATAAAGTCAATGAAAATAAAATAAATTAACAAAATGAAATAACCAAATAAAATGAAGCTAATAAAATTAAGTGGGTTCAAGATATTAGAGAATAATGCTTATTAATCAAGCAGTACTTACAAGAAGCTTTTTCCTGATGGCTTCTAGTTTTTCTGTAGCTGCTGCTAATTCAGTATTTGCCTGGGCCAATGCACATCGTTTTGGCTCTACCTCACAATACACCTTGAAAAAGACAGACAACATAGGTACATTAGACAAGAAGTTGGTCTCACATTCATTATAAAAATTGCAGATGACTCCTGATGAAAGACTTTTAGATAATCCTGGTAATCTCATTACGTATATTTGCTTTAGAGCCATCTTTCTACAAAATAGTAAGACACGCAGAGATTTCTTTCATTATTGACCTAAAGGCTACAGGAGATTTCATTATAACTTATGTAAGGATATCTTAAGCAGAACTGAATGCATCCTCAGTGGGTCTACTCTCCAACTAAAATTAATTTATATGTATCATTTTCATGGTTTTAGAATACAGGTAGAAATCAGACAGGCATTAAGCGTGAGTAGATTTCAACTAAAATTGATTAGGTTTTTACTATTTCATAATTAAATAATAACCTGCTATAATACTAAGATGAATGGAGGAATCCTGCTGCCAGGTGCTCAAGGGAATCACAAGTGATAAGCTCTGTCGTACACTCCAGACAGCCAGACTAAGATGGACATTTTAAGTGAAACATGTACATCTGGAGAGGAATATTTCCCAACTGTTGCATCATAATGACAATTGAAAAGTCCTGGACAGCCACATCTTTTTTTACCACTTTCTACTAAAAATAAATACATGCATACATACTGTTAAGCACTGAATACTTCCCACTTTATCTGTGGTTGCTATTAAATTCTCCCCAGAACACTAAACTGAGCTTACCAAAATAATAAAAAACTTCAATAACAGAAATTTCCCCCACCAAGTCAAGAGAGGAACTGATATATACACATACCTCATTGAATTTTACTATATTGATGACCCAGGCACAAAGACCAGCTGCTGCAAAGGATTTTGTACGAGCATAATTTGGATTGAAATCTGGATCTTTCAAGTAATGTTCCTTGACAACTTTCAGACAATTCTGAGGAATATGCTCCTTATCATAGTTGACTAAAGCTTGTAAGAAGTCATCAACCCGCAAGAAGAGAAGTTCCACTGGATCAATCCTTTTCCATTTCAGAGAATGAGAAGCTAACTCCTGCTTTCATTGCACATGCAAAACTGGAATCCTGCACTAGCTTATTGTTTTGGAAACGTTATGCAAAACATTAAGCAAAAATATTATTTCCCCCAAATACCTGAAGGATTCAACCTCACAAACACATGTTGTGATTTTATGATTCACTTGAGGAATGAGATAAATATAATGAAATGCTTTCCCTTTGACTTTTATTCTATTTTTGCAATTAATAAATCCCAGTGGTGCGCAGGCTGGCTTGAGTCTGTCACCAAAGGTACATGGAAGAGAACAACGCAGGGTCCTATCTTATTCCCCCAAATTCAAACTGTAAGAAAATGATGATGTGATTTAGTTTGTCTTTCTCTGGCTCTCATTTTTAACTATTTTTTTCATCTCTCATCTCAGATACTATATGATGTCCCATTGATCATTACCTTTCCCATAAAGACTTTTGCGGCTTTCCAGCTTCGGTCTTTGGGCACTTTCCCTTTATATGCCAACAAAAACATTACTGCAGCAATAACATTGGTTACAGCCACTGGTGGGTTGGTGAAGGCTTTCAGTTCTGTAATATTAACCTGAAAAAAGATCAGCGGAACAGATACAGAATTGTGCAACAACAGTAGATTTGTTCCACAGAAGCTTTCTGATTACAAGTATACAACTCTCAGCTCTTTGAAGACTATTACTGATTATTTTATGTGGTGAAAATACTCACGATCACAGCCCTTCCCTTGCTCTGCAATCCTATGTGCAACTTGGCCAAGTAGGGTGATGGGAAGTGTAATGCCAGGTCAGATACAGCAGTTGCCAACCTGTTGCTTTGGAGCATGCTGCCCAGAGAAGATGGAAATTTGATTGTGCTTGGCAGCTTGGCACTGGAATGACCATTTAGTAACCGTGAACTATTTGAACTATAAACAAATTTTTTTTGCAGACGTCAAACCGTATGATCTTTACCTTATCAAGCGTGTCTAAGGCTGCTGCAGCAGCAACAAGAGCAGGTTCAGCTTTCAGCAGGTCATCCTCGCATTCTTTCTGTCTCAAATATACTACTTCTCCTTGGATTTCTGCTACCTATTAAAACAATGAATCTTAAGATCTATATTGAAAACTAAGGCTGTAAATCAAATCAGAGCTGCTTAAGCACTCACACTTGCAGTGTAACGTCTATATACACAATCAGATCTTAAAACCCATTATTCTATGTTATGCATAAAAAAGACCTCTACAACTCTGACACTCAGTAAGGTTTGTGCTCAGCTCTAGACTCCATCTGTTCTGCATGGTGAGAATTAACATCTGTTTATACCACCATACAGCAGAAGTCAGCCTCAAGTCTGTGCCTGGGAAGATCATGGAACAGATCCTCCTGGAAGCTCTGCTATGGCACATGGAGGACAGGGACGCTAGTTGAGACAGCCAGCATGGCTTCACCAAGGGCAAGGCTGGCCTGACCAACCTAGTGGCCTTCTGTGATGGAGTGACGACATCAGTGGACATGGGAAGGGCTACAGATGTCGTCTGTCTGGACTTCTGTAAGGCCTTTGACACAGTCCTCCACAGCATCCTTCTCCCTAAACTGGAGAGGTATGGATTTGCTGGATGGACTGTCCAGTGGGTGAGGAATTGGTTGGATGGTCACATCCAGAGGGTAGTGGTCAACAGTCTCAATGTCTGGATGGAGATCAGTGATGAGTGGTGTCCCTTGAGGGTCTGTATTGGGACCGGTACTGTTTAATATCTTCATCAATGACATAGACAGTGTGATCGAGTGCACCCTCAGCAGCTTTGCAGACCACACCAAGCTGAGTGGTGCAGTGGACATGCCTGAGGGACGGGATGCCATCCAGAGGGACATGGACAAGCTTGAGAATTGGCCCATGTGAACCTCATGAGGTTCAACAAGGCCAAGTGCAAGGTCCTGCACCTGGGTTGGGGCAA